ACATTCAAATTGTCATTTTATAACCACCTTGTTATATATCATGCAACTACTCCAGATCCTTAAAACTGAATGCAATGTTTGGGAAACGGGTCCAGTTGGCAAAGATGCCCTCCCTTCATTTGCATAATTATAGGCTATGTTTTAATACTACTTATGGTTAAGGGTGCCTGACACTTTCCATTAAGAAATTCAGCTTTCATTTACTCAAGACATTGCCAAACTCTCTATGCTTGGTATTAGATTTTCCTAGCCAATGTCTCTGTCTTGGGCTGAGTTATTTGGGAAAGTTTCAGTTAAAAGAGTTCAGCCGTCTCCCAGAATGAAGTGAGGGGGGAAAAACAGTTTGTCTGCATAGAAAAGAAAGAGCAATAACCATTTAACGGAGAGCTTCTCACAACCATACACTCTGAAGCAAGAACTTATAGCATTGGGGAAATATTGCCTGTATCAAGCCTGTTGCTGCTCCCCCTTTCCCTTTTGGCCAATTTTTCCTTTTGGTGGACTTCAAACTCTGTAGAAGATCCTCTGTAGAAGATTTTTTGGAAAGTTATTCCAGCAAAATTCTCTCAAAATAAATCTGCTCTGAGTATGCTCCAGATTCACAGAGCTCTTGCAGATAACTTTCCAGGAGCATCTCTGCCAGGTAACTGCCTATCCCAGGCACAAGAGTCATTTTCCATAAGTCAAATTAATTTCCTTTCTTTCTTTCTTCCTCCTACCAAATCATGCTAAAACCAAGGTGATCAGAGGAGTGGCAAAGACACGAGGAGCTTTTCCCTTTCCTGCCATATAGTTTTTCCTGTCTGTTTCTTGCCACTTCAGAGACACAGAAGACTGGCTGACATGCTCTCTTTTAGAGTAGCAAGATGGTAACCTTCCTCTGGAGAGCAGAAACTGCTCTTCAGCACAAGGAGGTCCTGAACCAGGCTGGGCAGCTACACTCTCTGGCTCAGAAGTCCTAAAGTCATCCATTAACTCAGCAAAAGGAACCATGCTAGGGAGCTCTCTTCCAAAGGGCATTAACCAAGAGAGGGATGAACTGAGAAAATAAAACACTCCTTCTTCAACAGCAATCAAAAAAATTCCCATGCAAGAATCCCAAATTCCACATATTCTCATTCATCACTAAAAATCATTTTCCCTCTGGAAGTATCATGCTTGTTCTCCATATGAATAAGCACAGGATACAGACCACTAAGAAGAAGAAATGCTGCCTAGGAGTTAAACCACAAAGTCAAAAGATTCCAATTCTATTCCTGGCAAATACCCAACACCAGCATTTGCAAACCAAACGCCTGAAGCTAGGCACCAACATCCATATTCAGGCACTTAAACACAGAGTCTTGTATGCAACAGCTTTGCAAGGCCAGTATCAGTTACCCATGCTCCAAAAATCTCTGCCTTAACTGTTTGGTGTCTTGGTGTCTAGCTAACAGTGTTCAACTTGTGGAAATGTGTGGGGAGGAAAATACTGGACAAAACCCCAATTAATCTCTCTATATTTTCTTCCTACTGGCCAAAGGTTTCCTCCCCACTTAACACTTGGCCATGGAAAGAGCAAATTTCCTCCTTAGCAGCTGTGGTGGGGCAGAAACCTGCCAGTGTGCAGCACACACCTGGGTTAAGGGTTCTCAGACACATATCCCCACCCTCATGGCACAGACAGTGAGTGCTAGAGGAGGCATCAGATGTTTCAGGTGTTGTAAGGCTTGGTTAGCAATAGCTCCACACAGGTGCACTCCTCCTCCAGTATTGCACTGGGAGTCCCACAGTGGGATTAAAAGCAAGAGAAATTGTTATCTGTCATGACCTGGGAATCACTGGCTGGTCTCTCCTATTGAATCATCAGAATAAAACATCTTGTAGTTTCAGGTTCCCAAAAGAAAGATTTCAGCAAAAATAATCTGCAATTAAACTCTTGTCCTAAGTGGTCTAAAATATCTTTTGTCTTTTCAAAGAATCATAGCACCACTAACGGTTGGAAAAGACCTCCAAGGTCATCAAGTCCAATCTTTGATCACCTTGTCAAAAAGAAGTGTTGCCTGAACATTTCCAGGGATGGTGACACCACCACCACCCTGGGCAGCCTGTTCCAATGCTCCACCTGGCTCCACCGTCCTGGCAGGGAATTGTAGAGAGCAAAAACATTTCTCCAGGCTGAGCCCTGCCAGCTGCTCCTCATCTGACTCGTGCTCCAGACTCTCCCCCAGACTGTTTCCCTTCTCTGGACATGCTCCAGAACCTCAATGTCTTTCTAGAAGTGCAAGGCCCAGAACTGGACACCAGATAGGAGGAGGTACAGCTTCACCAGTGTTTGGTCCAGGGAGACAATCACTCCCCTAAAGCAGGACAATCACTTCCCTAATTTTTCCTTTTTCTTAAAGCATTAGTGATTTCACCTGGGTTTAACAATGTATGCCAAATGTGAGTCTCTGCCTTGTGAGAAAAAGCAAGGAACAAATCTCCCAGGCAGAGCTTTCTCTGAGCACTATATGCACAGAACCTTTCATAAGTATCAGATTTATATATTTATAAACAAATATATCAATAAAGGCTTGTTATCTGTTGATAACAGAAGACCGAACTCTGCCCTCAAATTCATTTGAAACAAATGCTGAAGCCAGCCAGTGCCTGACACTCATGAGGTGGGGCTTACCAGAAAACACCTCCTTACAATCCTTCCAGCAGATGCTGCTTCTCAAAGAGGAACTGAAGGGTTCCCTTCATAGCCTGTTGAGCACAGTGCTTGCAGGAGGGGAGGAAGGTAGGGGTCTGCTTTGGAGAAGCTGTTACCAAAATAACGCATCCTGACACAAAATATCTTCATTTTAATGCATTACTTGCCAGTCCCAACCACTCCTGGTACCATGGATCAAGGGTATTTCTCTATTTCTTCATTAAAGCTGTGCTATCAGCCCAGTCAGAGCAGGAGCCCAGCCCAGCTGGCAGCAGCACCCTCACACAGTAGGCAGGGCATTAGATGCAGCTACATTCCTTTGCATCTTACTAGAGAGAATTCCTTTTTTCCTGAAGAAATAAATAAAGTGAATACATACTAAATGCCTAACAGATGAAGCCATAACAAGCTGTTGCAAAGCACAAAACTTGTAGATACTGTTAAAACAATGTGTATGCCTGTTAAATACTGAAATATTTAATGTTATTATTAGGTATGTTTTAAAATACACCATATTTAATAAATAATATTATAGTATTTATAGATGGGCCCTTCTTTGCTAAGCAACTGGTTACTACTGTAACAAATATGCGATGCCAAATCTATTATCTAGGCTTTTTAACTTCCCTGAAGTGTTTTTTCCCCTTCTATGAAAAAGCAGATGTTCTAAAGCAACTGCAACTTCAAACTTCCAATATGCACTCGAAGGCTGAAATCTAATATTTAAAATGAGCTGTTCTAGTACAAAATGTCTCCATGGTGACCCTTGGTAGCTGAGTGGGAACTGGATTTGGCAGCGAGTCGGAGCGGATGCAGCTCCTGTTGGTGGCATGCACTGACCAAGGATCCATTGCATCTGGGCTCCAAACCAGGCCAAGATGCCAAGTACTGCCCCACACTCTCACCAAAAAGAACTAAAGAGGGTTTTCAGCAAACTCCTTCCACCAAGCAGACAGAAAAGTTCCTCATCTTATCGTGAATTAGTAATTCATGTAATGAGGTCAGGCTTTATAATGGGGTTTAACCCTAATATTAAATCTCACTCCAACCCGCAACTAGTAAATAACCAGTTTTTTTAGTGAAGTGTCTACAGAGTTAAGAATTTGAAATTCTTAATTGCTTAAATATCCACATACCTGTGCACTGTTAAAATGAAATCAAAGGTTTGTTTTGTTTTTTAAGTTAGACAGTTCAGATAACTCAAGCCTCAAAAAAATGTGCTAGAGCTCAACAACTAAACACAGAATCAACAATTTTAATTAAATATTTAAGCATCACAGGCTATGTTACAATTGGAAGAAAACAAATTCTCTGCTTCATACAAAAAAACCCAAACCCTGGAGTTCTCCCAAATTGTCCTGTTTTTTAGTTTTAACTGTAGAGGAACAAAAGCACTAGGATAAAAATTCACTTCTCCTTCTCAATCCAAAATCTCTCTTCTGATGAATGCTGGATTGATGCCAGTGGAGCTGACAGCAGTCCTTGCCTCCTGATGGGGAAAACCAGAAAATTATTGTTACTGAAAATTTGAAACCCTACATAATCTGGTTAAGATTTAAGAACAAGTAATGTTTTCTCTAATAACAGTTTTCATAACAGAGCCTTTCTCCCATGATATATTTTCCTTACAAGCAGGATGACATTGGCCAGGGTTTGGGGATGGTTGCCAGTCAACTTGAAGTGCTCAACACCCTCCAGGAGATGGTGAGTGTACATGACTGGTCCTTATATTGCATATAAGTTAGAGAGGAACATGGAGCTTGAATGAAATTCAGCTGTGGGGCTGGACTCTAAAGCTGAAGGAGTTTATTAAAGCCCACCTGGGAGGGGAAGTAGGTTGTATAAAACAAATTCTCAACCTGCTGAAGGTCCATAAGCCCAGGTGGTTTGAAGGAAGCAAACACATTTTTAAAAGCAAGTCCTTTCTCCTGCTTCCTTTACAGACTTTAGCAAATATCAGCAGGGTGAGAAGTACTAAAGAATATACTGTATTTGGCCAAAAGAGTCAGGCAAAATCTTTCCTGGGACTATCTGCAACAATATTTTAATTTCAGATACAAGGCAATGGATCTGTACAAACTGCTGATTCCAGACACAGAGTGTGACAGATTTACCCCTAGGGATCAGACTCGAGAAAGGAAAACTTCTGCTGCTGAAGTTTTACTTCCCTCTGGGACTTTCTCTCCTATTTCCTTGAAGCACACACACACCAGGAAAAAAAAAATCTTTCAAGCAAGGCACAATGTAGTGATCTCACCATGAGGTTTCAGTTCAGCAGAAATTTTTTATTTCATACTTATGAAAAAAACATGGTAATCTGGGAGCAATTGAACATTTTAGTCACCAGTGTCCCAGGCTGAGTAAAACTGAGCATCTCTTCATGAGGGTGCCAAGGAGCTCAGCCCCACTGCCGGTCAAGATGTGCACATCTCACAGTGCAGTTTGGACAGCAACAATCTTGGCTTGAGCAGGAAAGCAGGCAGGTCCAAGACAACAATCTGCCAAGTAAAACAGACATCCCAGGCTCAAATTCCCATCCCTGCCATGCACAAGTTCCGTCCTAGCTCCCATCCCTATCATCACCTTGAAAAGAGATGGCTCAGATCCAGAAACTATTTCAGGACCAGGGAGTGAATGAAAGCTGGAGCAGCAACTCTTTCTTGCAGAGTCTCAAAGGACAAATCAGGCAGCATCTTTCAAAGCAGGAGGTAAGTCCTGTTCCGTTTATGGCTAAGATGATGACTGGGAGAAGAAAACAAACAATTTTCGGAGATCAGCCAGTACAGGAGCTTTGGCTGCAAGTCCTCAAGGAAGAGACCACATCTAATAACAAACTGCCACATCCTGAACCAGATCCGCTTCCCAAGTGGATTGTAAGACATAGCCTGTATTTATTTTTGCAAAGATCAAGCATATGTGTATTTATATTGCTCGGACAAAGAAGACTAACCAGAAATGAGTGAACAAAACTCACCTTCCTATTCCCTGCCTCTGGCTCAGGTGGTCCCAATGACACCAGGTCTCTCAGCTGAAACTGCAGGTACAGGGTGCCAGGAGTTTGTCTGATACACATAAAGGACGTTGCTCAGGCTTGTCTGAGCAAAAGCATTAGCTATCCCAGAGCTCTGCTAGGTGATCCCAGTCTGTTCTTGTTTCTTTTTGCTACACAACAGTAACTTTGGCCGAGTGAAACATGTACAGCGAAGGAAACACTGGCACAACCTCAGCACTTCAGTTCACAGAGGCTTCCCAAGGTGGGTTTTCTCCAGGTAACTCAAAAATACCTCCTGCATCCTCAGGCCATGTCAGGAAATACAGAGCCACATGCAGAGATGGCCAGCATGATGATGTCTGGTAAAACAGTGACAAGCAGAGAGGAGTGAGCTGCAAAAACCAAGTTCTAAGATAAAGCCAGTCTGCTTCAATAGACCAACATATACACTTGGACAAGCACCCTATCAGGTACACACATTTTCCAGCAGATTACAGAAAACATCTCTGGGTGCTGGTGGCTCAGAGGTAAGTCTGTGCACCTGAAAGCTGAAAAGCTGATAAAGACATTATTCCTACCAAAAGACTTCTGTCACAGATGCAACAACATCCGCACTTCAGTGCAAAAGAAGAGGACTCTGGAAAGCATTTCTTGATAAAGCTGAAGAGCTCCTTGAACTTGCTCTGCCAGTCTAGATAACTCTTGGCTGACTTTGCTCCTTGGCTCTTTTCACCCTTCCCAATGCAGAAGATGTCCTGCCTTGCTGCTCCAGAAATGATCCCGGCACTTATGTCACCTCTCAGCCTGGCCAGTTCAGTTTGCTGCATCTTGGGTTTCGAGCTTGGGTGATGAACTTTCCATTATCTGAGACTTCAAAAGGTTCCCATCCTGTCAGAGTGGCAAGTCAAGACACAGTGCTCTAGTGTAAACAAAGATGCAGATCTTTATTTTTACTCTTCACCAAAAAATATCCAAGAATAGATCCAATGAAAAAGAATTACTTCAATTCTAGAACACACTCCCCTCTTCAAGTCATTCCTTCCTTTAAGCACTGTTAATCTCTATCATATTTGGAGATGTTAAACTGCACCCTCAATAATAAGCCTGAAAATGAAATGGTGCGATGTAATTCAGAAAAGGGGAAAAGGTAAATGTGTCTGGCAGCTTAAAAATTTACCCAAGCTCCTTCACACACATACACACACCAATGTGATGAAACGCTACTTTATTTCAAGCACTGGTGGAAAAGGAGGCTTCACTACCAAAGTCTGCCCTGTAACAGCCACTGGGAATAAAATTAAGTCTACCCCAGCTGAAACCAGCACATGTGGCTTCAACTGCATGAGCCCTGCAAGGCATGAATAGAGCTTCCAGGAATGCTAGAAATTTAAATTTGCCTCTCTTGGTCAATTTTTCCTCTTCTTCTAAGGCAAACAAATCCAGACAAATAGGGAGAAACCAAACAGGTGGTTAGTATAGATCAATTCTAGATATATCACAAAAGAAAGTAAGACTTGGTGTATAAAGGAAAGTATAATAAAGAAGGAAGAAAAAGAAAAGAAAATATTGAAAAAACTGATTTTGACATGTAAATCAAAATTAAATCTGCAGTATAAAATCTAGTTTATGAAGAATTAGTGAGATACAAAAGAAAGTGGTGTTTCAGGAGAAAAATTAACTTGCTATTCCTGTGTATATACTAATTATAGCTTCACTAATACAATATTAAGGACTAAAAATAAAGTTTGGCTTATAACAGATAGGAATCATAATTGCCAAATGCTGTAAATGCTGACAAAATAACTTCAATGAAAATTTATTTGTTAGCTCAGACAGAAATTCTGAAGCATGGCAGTAATAATATCACCTTATATAGCATTCTAAGGGGCTTTTTACTGTTCCTTTTTATGTACAAGATTTTCTTCCATATTTTTCCAATTTTTCTTTTTTTTTTTTTTTTAGGCTTTTAGAAAAAAAGAAAAGAGTACTAAAAAGTTAAAAGAAAAAAAGGCACTGTTTTTGTTTGCCCACAAACTCTGCTTGACTCATTGCTATTGCCCAACACAATATCAGAGTCAGTGGAGAAAAAACCCTTGAAATCAGTGCAACTACTTGTAAGGAGTCATCAAGACAAGCACAGGCTCAATTTTTGGAGCTGCTATTCTGATCCAGTTATTGTAGCTAAATGAAAGGGCATGATTGGGAGGCATGAAAGGATTCAGTTTTGCTGCCTTATTCACATTCAGGGAACTGCTGAGACTTTCATGTTAAACTGTATCCTCATAAGGGCAGGCTTTGGCCCAAAAAGTCATTTCAAAACAATTCAAACAGATGGTAGCACTTAATATATCCACGAGAAGTGTTTCGCACTCCCATGCAAGCTTTCTGAGTGCTCAGCTGGGCAGAATAGGGAAATCTCTCTTTCAAGTCGTGTTTGTTTTTTTCATGAGCATATAGGGTTCTATAATGGGGGGAAAATTGGGGAAAACTATCCAGTATCACTCTGCAACAGGTCAAATTGATGAGAGAAAAGGAGTCGTTGAAGACTCTGAGTGCATGTCCATGTGCACAACTTTCCTTGAAGGCAATTTTAACTGAGCAGCTCCCATTAAGTCAAATCCTCATATTTTGCAGTAGCTATTTATTACACCGTGAAACAAATGTGCTCTGTTCAGGGAATTTAATTCCTAATGATGAATATGAAATAGTTTTGTCAAGTGACTCTTTTCTCAAATAACAATTTGTTATTGAATGTTAAAATCCCATTTTATCCTTATTCTCACACAGGCTACAAGTATGGTGAACTTCAAAGTGAGTATTCCTTTAATCAACAGTTCTGTAGGAGGATTTTCATAGGATTTTTTTGTGTTTTTTTGAGGACTCAAGAGAGCTGCTATCTTTTTTAAAGCAAAAAAAATTCCTGGATTCATGCAGATTATGAGATTATGAGATTATTTAACCTGCAAGGCAATTTCTAGCAAAAATGGTCATTAGAAAAATTAGGAAAAGAAGATTTAAAGGTAACATGCAGAACAAGAACTGAAACTCCTCTTCTGAAGCTCACTATTATCATGATTTCTAGGGCACGACTCCAAAGTCATGGCTATTTGGAATCATTAGCCTTTTGCCTATAAACTATACAAATAAAATTATTTCTGTGACTTCACTGAATTTCTTTTTTGTGTAACACACTCTCCTGGCTTAAAACTTCTTTCCCCAGAAAACGTTTTCCTCTGAAGCACGAGACAGCTAAGGGACCCATCAAAGCCTTAAGGAGATCCTTGTAGTTATAAAACAACCAAAATAAAATTTAAAGCCAAGAGCCAGTTAACCCTTTCTCAAGCAGTACAAAGATTTCATGTGTGTGGAATCTGAAGAGGAAAGAGCATTAATATCCTTTGCAGTTGTTATCTCAATGGGTGCTCTGCCTTCATTCATGGAATGAAAGTCTCACAAGATACTGTGTCTCATTTCAGGAGATGGGCAGTTCTTCACATTTGTTTCTGATTATTTATCAGATTATTTTACCTGGATAAATAAGAGAAAGGTCACCTCCTGCTGTGATATATTTCTATCCTCCTGGTTGTCCCATTGTTTCACAGATAAAGCTTGAAAACTTATTTTAATTATTATCTTTTTTTAAATCAAATCATTGCTTTTCAGGCTGTAATCTCAACTCCCTGAAGTCAGTGAGTTTTATCCCTAATTTAATAGAGGCAAGATTCTACCAATTGCCAGACATTTCTTTTCCAGACTCCACACAAACAGAGAAATTAGTTAGAATGTCCCCTCTAATTCTGACATTGGTAGCAGAAAACAAATTATTGAAATTAATGCAAAGCTACATGAATTTGTGTATTTATAATCTATACCAATTACATATAATCCTGACTTTGCACGTATTCCTTTCCATTTTTAGTTCAACAAGACTTCTCTTTTAGTCACAGGGTTAAAAGGGACCTTTCTCTGAACCAAAATTAGGAGATTATGAATCTTGACTGTAAGAAAATAAAAAAGAAAGAAAACCTTAAGAAGTCTCATGTGAACTAATATCTTGTCCTTGAGATAGCTCCTCTCCAGCTTTTTATTGGGGAGAGTGAACCCACAGTCCCCGAAGGGTATAAGGATCACTCACTGTTTTCCCACTGCCTGATGGGTTTCTTTTGGCTATTTTAGTGTTTCCAGTCCTTCATCTCCATGTGCCACTAGACATCATGCCCCGAGCAGCCTGGGAACATGGCCATTTGCTAAGTCTCGCTGGCATCAGCTCCAAATTGTGCCAGCTTGAGCCTTAATTTTTATTCAAGTGTAACTACTAGCTCAACTGCTAATAAAAAGTCTTTGAAGAACCTCATCCTTTATTTGTATTCTCTGCTGAATTGAACAACAGCAACCTGCACCCAAGCACACAGCTGGTGGAGACAGTCGGCAAACCTGATTGTTGTGACACTTCTGTCTCAGAGTTTGAGCCATTTTCCTGAATTTTACTGTTGTAGAGAAAACTTAGTATTAAAAAACAAAGAAACACAACAAGCAGCTAAACTCACCTGCCTGGATTATATGAATTTAATTAACTTCCCATCCTTAAATCAGAATTTGTATTGGGTCACAAGCCAGTCTGAAATCAGTGCTTAGATCCAAGGGACAAGGTTTAATCAGTTGTTTCATATCATCCATTCACACATTCCATCTAGGAGAAAATATCCTTTCAACTAATTGCAGTCCTGAGGAAAAGTCAATGCCTATTTTCACCTGTCCCCCTAGCACCTCCTTTTGGTTAATTTGAGGCCTTGGATCTGCTTCAGTGTTCAGAGAGCTGCAATTATTAGATTATTTGGCTGATGGTGAGAGGCTGGCTCATTCTCCCCTATAAGATCAGAGCATTGTGCCCAGGGCTCCAGGCACAGACCTGAACACAGACAGATTTTCTAAACACAGAGTTAATGCAACCATGTCATCTCATAACCACTCAAGTGGTTATTTACCCTTTCAAGTGTGTCTCGCTCAGCTGCTAAGAATGAGTTCAAAAGGGAGTAAAAGTCCAAACTGAATATGAAAATTTTACCCTCCTCTTTTTGGGACATAGTCTAAACCACATTGATTTAATGGAAAAGCTCCAGCTGGCTACAAATCAAATCCAGTGTGGAGGTCCTTAAGTGTTACTGAGTTCTTGTACCATTAACTGTGGAACAATTATTATAATTTTCATATCAGTTCCTCAAAATATGAGAGGGCCTTTTGTATTATTTATGTCTTGTGCTAGGGGTTGGTAAAGTTTATTGTATATGTAGCAAGGATATTAGTCACTGATTTTAATCTTTGCCAGTTGTGATAATGCTTGGGGTTTCTTTATGTGGGTTGAAAGAACAATATGATGAATAAATAAAAACACAGAAAAGAAGGGGAAAACTACAAGAGTTTCCCTCATTGCTCAAATATATAGGAAGCCAAATGAGCTCTTTACCCTGCCAAAACATGTGTGGGAATAAAAGCAAAATGTGTATGTTTGGGGTAGTTATCATCCGTGTATTTTGGACAAGCTGCATTTGTTTCTTGAGTGCTCTATAAGACAAGGGAAGAAACCAATGCCAACATTGCAAAAACACACACAAAAGCCTGGGGAAAGCCAACCCCACTGTGCACTTTTGGTGCTAAATTAGGGATAAAATGTTGGAAAACAGCCCTAACATAGCAAAAAAGAAACAAACTATTCAGTGATGGAGAAACTGCAAACAGCTTGGTTCAGAGACAGGGTCTCAACTTCTTCTCTCAATACATAATTCCAGGAATTCTGAAAACATGGGAGAGCAAAGGTGTAAAAAAAAATTAATTTCCCTTTTCTAACAGAGAAATTTCTCTTTAAGAATTCAGTAAATTCATAAATACCTTCGCTAATGATTTGCTT